TAAAGCGTGACGACTAAAGGCCTAAAACAAAGGGACGTTATGAGACTGGGCGTGGAGCGATAGGTAGATATGTTCTCGTCATAGGAATAGGGAGAGTGACGCAACCGACGACTATTCGAATTGACCCTCTTCAAGAAATGGAGCTAGACTAAGAGGACTGCTTTTGTTTCCTACACATCCTAATTTTTCAAGATGCTTTATGTCCTCAGCAAATGACTCTTGCTGAGAAAGTTCAGTCAGCTTAGTTGTGGCATTCCTATTTCAGCAACTGAAATGTTACCGACGAGTCTCTGATCCTTACAAAGTTAACAATTTGAAATTAATCTTGAGCATGATGTAGCCATTACACGCTTAATGCGAGTGAAACAGGAGAACAGATCCGCTCAAACGGAAACAGGCAACTTGTAATTGAACAAAAACCTTTAAGTTTTTTCGTAATTCTGGAAGTTCTTCCGATGAAGGAAGGTGAGGTTGTAGGTTGTTAACGAAATGTCGATTCGCCAATAAGCGGGATCCTTTGATAAACATGTAGGTCCATGAAACCATACCTTTGAAAACAGAAGAGGGATCTGCGGGATTCTGATCCGTATAGGAACGTAGCTCCAACATCCAACATCTTGATGAAGTAAGGGAATCTCAGAAATGCGATTTCCTACGAAAACTTGAAATTGATGTGAGGAAGAACGAATCCAATCAAGAACAATAGGTAAATCAGACAAAAAATAGGAAGAGTCGATGTAACATAATAATATATCAAGGATGATGTGAAATTTTGGAATAGAGTCGCACCACATAGCTCCAATCTAGGAATACTGATTGCCTTGGGCTACACGGGTTTTTGAAGTGAGTAAAGTCTGTTTTTTTTTTAAAGATAAAAGTCAAAATGACATTATGTTGGCAATACAATGTAAAATTGTCAATGCTTCCAAATTTTTTATGTAGAAAAGGCTTGTGTTGCCAACATAGTTACTAAATTTTTGACTTGGGGAATTATCTTAAAAAAAAAACAGATTTTAAGTAAATGAACACATTGCTTAATGAATCAATGAACGTCAGATACATACTCCATATGCGAATTGAGAGGCGTCTGAGAATCGATGAAGCTCAGTGCGTAACAAATTTTTGCAAGAAGCATGTCTAGAAATTATCAAAGAATTGATATCAATAAGCTTATTGCAATTTCTTTTAGAATTTCATCGTCCCATCCTAATTCCAAGGACCATAATGTTGCACAGTTGTTCTCGCGTGTATGACAATCGGTCCAAGTAAACCCAGAAAGTCGAATATTTTTGCAGTTTCAGATAGAATGACCCTTTTTGTTATAGCCTTAACGTTGGGTTGAGAATCAATATGAAACGATAATGAATCCGCCTTAATACATAGACCATAGCATGACAAAAGTTTTGCTTGTTTCTGCTGAATGGAAATAATATTTATCTGTAGAAGAGTTCCTAAAAACTAAAGATCTGACTTTTAGTTTTCCATTTTCTCAAGCACTGGATAAAACTGAAGCTACTTGGCTACTCAAAAAAAACTAAAATCTTGAACTGAATCTGCGCCAGAGATATAATCATCATCAACATCAACATAAAAAACACGTCTGATAGCATCTGAAATCCTGGCCATAATGTCCTTATTATCTATGGCCTGTTGTTTCAAACAGCTAGTTGCCAGAAACGGAGCACTTGATGAGCCATACATGACAGTACTTCGTGTTCAAGAGATTGCAGGAAATATTGTGTTCATAACAAAGATCAGAACTGTGTTAGTACAAGAAATAGAAGCAATAGGAGAAAATAAAGATACAGTGATCGAACTTCTGGGAGAATTATGAAAGATTGGTACCAGAAGCAATCAAGGAAACTTGTGAGGAGCCAACAAATATTATACCGCTGCGGAAAAAGAGGAAATTTCAAATGCAGTGGCAGGGTGTTGCTCTCCTTCTGGACTGGTGACTCTCGCCCCTCAAGGAAGAAGTTGTGAAAGTATAATATTAAAATGTAGATATCTATCGTTTTGTTGAATTGCATAACAACGCAGATCCCTCAGAATTGATCAGCGTGGAACTACTTCCTGTTCCGAGATTTGGAACGAATCAAGAATGAAGGTTCGAACGGCTTAACCGCGATGTAAGAAGATAATGACATCAAACCCTTTTTGAACCTGAAATGATCGCCAACAAACTGAGAAAAAGAAAAATCGGGCCAGCGAATAAAGTGAAACCGGGATCAAGTTATCTGCTGATCCAGAGGGTCAATATTCTTCTATCAAACGGATGCTTCACAGATTCCTACGATGAGGAATACTAAATACTGAGAACGCGCATGCGCAAATAAGGTGGTCCCTGCATGGCAGTCCAAATAACAAACAGGTGACCATCCATACCTCTCGCAGGCGTGAGACTAGATCTGGATGGACAGGAAGGGTATAAGATGCCGGCAAAGTTTCTAGAGGGCATTCCTTTGAAATGCATACTCATATAGGTTGTAATGTGGAGAATGATTGCAAGGAGGACATCATTTTCAAAAGACATGAATCTTAAGCTCGTGAAAAGCATGGTTTTGATGGTACCTAGTAAGATGAAAAATGTTATATGAAATTATTGAAAGGTTGAAGGCTCAGCACGAGAATAAATGGTCAGTTGACAGTTCAGATGATCACGAGGAAGGAAATTTTACGATATTACATTGTTTCGAACAAGACCGATGCCACTGTGTGGAAATATTTGGGAATTTGTTACTATTATGGGCATTGAATAAACAACAATTTACGAGAATTTTATGGAAAGATTTGTGATTGATAATTCGAAGCGCGTAGTTTGTAAGTTACCATTATCAATTTAAATGAGAATATTGCTGTATTAATTCAGTAAAATAAGCGATAAGTACCTGATTAGTGAATTTCGTAGTCAATTCAAAGGTTCAATAAAAGTTGCTGTTGTTGGTGAGTAGAGTTTAAGTAGACCCACGCAAATTGTGACAACACAAACGATTATTTATGAACACAATACTGGCTAGATCCCATTCAAATTCAACACACGTGCGTTTCTTGAAATTCGAAATTCGACAACACATATCGAAGACTGACGAGTTAAGCGCTCATTTGCTCGAAGGCTTTATTCAAATTGATTCCAATTATTTACATTGTGCATTGTGCAATTTATAGAAGAAACAACAACAAAGATTTTATTTATTAAGTCTGTAATATTTCTTTAAATTGTTCTGTTCCCATGCAGATACATTTTAAACTTTAATAATTCTAAATACCTACTATCTGTTCGCCTTGTAAATGAGGAGCGGTTTTATTGATGGTGCTTATTTCCTTGGGCAGCTACTATTAAAATTGTGGAGGGGGTCTATTCGCAAATGAGAGAAACAACTGTAGTATAAGGCTTACACAATTATACTTTATTTTACTTAAATAATCAAAACCCAATTTGCCAGTACAAAGTAATAAAACTAATATTTTCCCAAAGTCTTACAGCCACCTCTATGTTTGCTAATTCAATTTACTACAACACTTTTCATTCTTTAACATCCTACAAGATTCTTCCTTTATTTCTCGGAACTTGAATTATTCTTTTCATAAAGCCCTACTTCGATGCTCTCCACGGCAATCCAAGTGGAGCTTTGAATGTGACTCTTGTAGAAACAAAAGTCACATTCAAAGCTCCACTTAGAATAAATATCCCTTAATTTCCTTAAGTGATAGCCGTGCAAATGGCCATCAATATCTTATAACCAAATCATTTATTTTTCTACACAATACCAAAGTTCGCCTCACGAGTCTAGCACAACGACGTTTGAAGCGCAAGGGGAAATAACCCCATTTATTTCGAACTTTATTCTACCTATCATAGGCGTGCGTGCAACGTTTTCAGATATTACTTTTTCCTTATAAATGTAGGTTTGTAACATAACCAAATATTGAGGTATTTTTTGCAATTTTTTTAGCCGCATTATTTCCATAGTGCTAGACTCGTGAGGCGAACTTTAAACTTTGAAGGATTCGATACATATTTTAAATAAAACTACCTTTATTTATAAATTTTTAAACCCCTGTAGTCATTTACTGACAAACTTATACAAATACAAAACAGTTATTTATAATCAAGAACCCAGTCAGATTAATTATTACAAACATTATTTTTATTAAATCCTGCGCACCTGCGCGTGTCCTAATTTAGTATTTATCGGAATAACGTCGCAAGAATTGCGTTTTCGTTTCCGCTATTCAAAACGCCGACAGCGCGTGTACACAATTGAACAAGTTAGCCTTGTAATTAATGTTGTTTGGTGTTTAGATTTATGAGTTTATATAAAGGGACAGGAATCTCGTGAGTTTTCGGTTGCGTAATTATTTCATTCGGACCGCCTTCGGTAAAGATAACTGATGACTATAGAGGGGGGTCCGTATAATAATTGTTATATTATATTTTGACCTTTATCGCTGGCTTAAGCAGCGAAACAGATAACTAGGTTAATTATTATTTTAATTTGAACTTAGAGAATTCCAATTGAGACTATTGAGAGTATTTTATTTACTTTATTACTTTCCAATTATAGCTGTGATTACTGGAATTCAATTCAACATAAAGTTATTCGATTGAATTTAAATTTTTCTGTAATTTTGAAAGTTGGCTAATTTATTTTACGTAGTTCAATCTTCCAATTTGGAATAAAGATTATCGATAATATTTTGAATACTTTCTCCTGATAAAACAACTGTGAAACTGCTTTCATTATTTCTAGTCTGGTGTCATTAAAGTAAATAATAATTGGCAAAACTATTTTCCCGAAAATTCCACTTTTAAATCCCTGCAATGTATGGCTGACCTTTTGGGATCTTCACAACGACTGCCACAATAAACTTTAGTTACCTACAAGCAGAAAAGTAGCGCATAATACCTGTAACTATTTAATTTGCCACCCTGTATGTTTGCTCGATTGAATTAAATGCACAATTGTCTAATTAATCTGAAAAAGAAATTATTATTTCAGGTATGTACTACGGTGCTAGTATTTGCCTAGTATCCTTCGCCTCTGGCCTTTCCGTAGTCACCCTCAACATCTACCACAGAGGAGTGAGAGGTCAAGCAGTACCAAACATGATAAAAAGCATCGTACTCAAACGAATAGCACCGTTGGTTTTTATCAAATTCGATAATAAGCCCAGAGAGACTAGGATACAAGAAATTAATCCTAGAACTGGAACAAGGCTAGATGCTCAGTGGCCGTGGTCTGAGCTTGCACCACAAGAAGATGGTTGCGGTTTACAACAGAGGGCGCATCAAAGATCTCCCAGATTTGCTACCAAAACTAGAGGTGACGATTTAGGTAAGCAGGTAAATACCTAAGGTCAAGTATTTTCTATTATAATATATATTAATTATTGTATGGTAGGTAACTATAGGCAAGATTTTTGTTCTAGACTTATTTGAAAAACAAATAATCAAAGTTCTGAACCGAATTCAACAAAACATTGAAAAAAACGAAATTCGTGTTTCTGATCAAGAAAGGAAAGAATTGACTGAATTGGAATGGAAACAAACGTCGATAGTGTTGGATAGACTTTTGCTTGGAGCGTTCTTCTTCATTACAATTATAACGTCGACTACAATTTTGTGTCGAAGCCCTCAGGATACGGGCTAACTAAAATAAATCACAGTGTTAAATATGCCTTTCTGGTATACTCCATTAATCCTAGTGAACAGTCGGTGCGAAAAATTATATGAACTGTGAGAGTTGGTAAATGTTATAAGTTATAAGAGTTGTCAATGTTAAAATAAACCAGAATAAACTTTTTTACATAAATTAGCAGATTATTAAAATAAAAAAACTTTTAGGCTAGAACCACCGATCTCTAATATCTTTCACCTATTTTGGTTTTGGTTCAATTCCGCGTCAAGATAAATAGGAGCTGATTGGTTGAGTCCTCCTATAGGGTTGGACTACCTATATTCCTACAAATCTGTTCTGCTCTTTATTTGTTAATTCATAAAAAAAGAAAAATCAAAATTTTATAACAAAAAATTCCATAAGCAAGTGACACTGGCAAAGATGTTTATATTGAGTAGGTAGGTACTAAAAAGATTTATTAAGAAGTTTAGTTCTTTTTGCCTAAATCGTTCTATTCAGTTTTTCATCCGGGACGGTTCCTCAAAAGTCACATTCAAGGACTTTTTTGTTATCGCTGACATTTTTCGAGGTAAAATTTAGGAAAATTCGATTTTTTAATATTTGAAAAACAGTAGCTTTGTTCCATTCGTCTCCAAATGTTTACTTAACTAACTTCATTTGTAGAGATCAGTGTCTAGGACATATCAAAAAATTTGTTGTGACAAAAAAAAAAAATTCAATTTCAATACTTAATATAGTTTTCTTGCAATTAGTTAAGTGTATGTATATTTGAAAAATGAGTTTTGGTATTACAAAATACTAAAAAGTAAAATGTGTATATTTCAAATAAGTGTAATAGATGATTTATTAATATAGGTGCGTTTTATTTTATGCCTAATATGATTACCAAGCTTTTCCAAACAAACTTATCATTGGTGACTGTTTTCGTTTAACGGAAGGTTATGCAAGCATAATATAGCTAGGTAGGACTTACACATTTAACATATTTAGATAGAAACCTCCGGATATTGTTCGTCGAATAAATTTGCTGAAATATTAGCCGATCTATCGCTTACGAAATTATTGCCACGGATTCTGGGTCCAGTTTAAACTCACTTTACAAACAGTAACTTATATTGAACAAAATTTATTTTATAAGCATTCACTCATCACTCATCAAAAAGTACACAACAAATCTCATATTTAAAATAATTAACTACAACGCATCAACATTCTTATTTAAACGGAACTCAACTCAACATAGCCGACATCTTACTCCGGATTTATCTAGAAAAATATGACGCACTGCTCGAATACAATAAAATTCCCCGAATAGTCGCATTAGACGTAAACAACTCGGTTCTTAAAATCCGGCCGGGCCGGGGTGTCAAATTCGTAACAGCACTATACCTACCTCCCAACCTCCATCTCAGATCAGATTGTCCCGATCTGACTCTCTCAAGATGCACACTCTCGTCTTCTACATCTATACCCCCACTCAGATCAATAATAAGTCTGTTTCTGCAGAAATCACAGGTGGATGTTTATTCGAACCAGGTACTTAAGTTCTTCAGCCGAGATATTCGTCTTCACGTCTTCTGCCGATGCTTTTGCTGCCCTGGACTTTTCCTTGTAGAATGCATTTCAGCAATTTATTTTTGGTTTCGTTTCTCATAATGTGACCCAGATATTCCAATTTTCTACGTTTTACTGTGTACATTATTTCTCTTTCTCTATAAGTTTTTGCAGCACTCGGGTGTTGGATACCTTATCCATCCATGATATTTTGAGGATTCTCCTGTAAGTCCACAACTCGAATGCTTCCAGTCTCTTTGTTTTGGCCTCCGTTAAGGTCCAAGACTCTACTGCGTATAGCAATATAGACAATGGGTTCTGGCATGGGAGCAGTCTGATTTTCAATTTTAAATTTAAATTTTATGTGTTTTGCATAATTTGGACATTTGAATGAAAGCTGCTCTTGTTTTTTCAATTCTTGATCTTGTTTCTTGGGAATGGTCCCACTATTCATTTGGTACTGCACCAGGATAAGTGGATGTTGGCACTCGTTGTACAACTTTCTCATTGATGGAAAACAGTACGCCTCCAAGTCTTTCCTTGCTAATTATAATGAATTTTATTTTACTGGTGTTAACTTCTAGGCCATATTTCTTACTAATTTCAACTATAGGGTTCATTAAAAGCTGTAGGTAGTCCCTGTGCAGTGTCGGCAAAAATAACGATGTCATCGGCATATCTAAAATTGTTTATTTGTTCGCCATTCAATAGTAGTCCTACTTCCGTGTGTATTCTAGGGCTTCTTGGAAGATTGCCTCTGAGTACATGTTGAATATAAGAGATAACAGTATGCATCCATCCTCGTAAAATTTCGACTTCCTCTCTTGTTGATGATTGAGTCTGAGAGTTCAGTATAAGTTTTAAAAATACTCCCAACAAGTGGCCCATGATTCTTAATGTTCTGTAATCACTGCATTTTTTGGCACCCTGCTTTTTTGGCAAAACTATGAGCTCTGATCTCAACCATTCTTTTGGTAGTTTTCCACTGTTGTATATCTCAGTGAAAATGACTTTGCTGTATAGAATTGTGATAGAAGATGAGATGCACAAAGCTCAAGCAAGCTTGGGAATGCTAATAAATTTGAGCGGGGCTACACAGGTTTTAGAAGTGACCAACTGAACATGCATATTTTTAAACATATCTATGGTTCTAATGTAGATGCATGCACCATAGGCGCTCTGCGGCGCATCGTAAAACCTGTGCAATTTTACTCGAACGATATTTTTGCCAGTTACTTGTCGAGGAATTTGCAACCTGTTAAGTTCTGGAAGTTCTGATCTGAATGAATTCCACTTACTTGCAAGATTCTTGGGAACCTCCACGTTCCAAGGAAGATTCAAAGCCCAAAGCTTCTGGACAAACATTTTCGCTCTGACAACGGCAGGACTGATTAGTCCAAGGGCATCATAAATTTTAGCAGTTTCCGAAAGAATTATTCTCTTGGTATAACCTTTGTATTTGGAGGATCGCCAATGAAAAATTAGGTATCGTGCTCACTGAACCATAGCATCCCTAGCGTTTTACTCGTACTCATGGAACCAAAATAGAAATTATCAGTTGGAAAGCATTCGGATTTAATACCCTCCAACACTTCAGTCGAATTAGATTTCCATTTAGTTAGTTCCATATGCCCGGACAAGCCAAGATTGAACTAACCTTGTTTGCAAAAGTGACTGCTTCCTCTACGGACGATGCACCTGTAAGAACTAAGAAGGTCATTCATGTAGTGTGATGAAATTCTATGTTTGATGTCCCGGTTCAGTTAATTATTTTAATTTAGGTGAATCAAGTAGCTATATAATTTTTATTTAAGAAAACTACCTGTTCTTTCAATAAGTTCTTTAAAATAGAAAGTACCTACCGACAAAGTTTAGCAATGTTAAAATCTTTATCTAAAATACGTTGTTTTATAAAGGGCAAGGGTACAAAGCAGGTACCAACCAGAGTTGACTAATATAAAACCAACTGTTGAAAAGTTAAGATATCTGTGTTATTTTTTGCGGTGGCGTTACAGTAGAAATCCCTCTTTATTACCTCTGAAGCTTGAAGATGGAGATGCTGATGATCGAAGGAATTAAAGTTGCAGTAGACATCTCGTATCCAGAAATGGTGCACTGAGTGTGCCATAGACTACAGTGTCTAAAGAAAGTATTTCCAGTTCTTGCTCAGGACTAGAACGCCAAAGAACCAGCTGCAATGGTTTGAATTCATCAGCATCAAGTATTTGCCTATACATTTTACACATGTTAGCGGAAAGAACACATGAGTGCTGCCTGAACCGAAGGATTGAAAAAAGGCTTTTCTGTACATACAGTCGGACTGACCATTTGCAACGAATTGTATAATTTACCAGTCGCTTACTCGTATTTTTTTCTCTGTGTATATTTAGGCGAATTTTTGCCTCCCTCAGAATTTTTGAGGCACACCTTCATTGAGGTGGTATAGGACTTGTTCTCGAAATTATTAACTCCGTACACTTTCAAATTCAAAATAGTTTGTTTTCAGGCGGTAATTTTATGATCACTAAATACAAAAGTTCCATTTGAATGTATAAATTTCATGTCAAGAGTATCGGCTTATTATTTTGGGAAATCCTAACAAAACGCGATGCGTAGGGTCCACGGATGCATCCAGGCCCAGACGTCCGATGCCTTAATCACTCCTTTTTGAACGCTGTGTAAACCTTTGCTACATTTGAGAAAAATGTAATTTCTGAACACATGAGATGATAACTTGGTTGATTTCCTTTTTTGATTGATAAATTGTGAGAAATAAAGCAAAAATGTTCATAAAACCATTACGTTTATTGTCAAATTGAAAAGCATAAATTTTTAACAAAAACTAGCCAAAACCTAGTTTCCTAAAACTATATGTGTATTACAGGGGACGCCTTTAAAAATTCTATCGTGCAGCCTTTAACGTTGATAGTTCAAGATATAAACCTGACCAAATATTTTTAATGAAGATGCAACATACTTTTGAATAGGTATAAGTAAGTAGGTACTATAGATTGATTTCAACAACAAAAAAAGAGCATTTGGGTTTTTGATATTGGCCAAAAACTTTGTTAAATTAAAATTTATACCGCACTAAAAATATTTAGCCAGGCCTACATTATTGGAAGTGGTTTTAAAAATTAGTTTACCCAAACAAAATGTATTTTTCAATATTGTTGTACATAGAAACACTAAGAACAATGGAAAAATGTCTATCACTCTATACAACCATTAATAGATAAGTAAGCGCAATAACATATGGTAACTGACTAAAACTAAAAATTATTATCTGTTTCACCAAAAACCCCAAAGAATATGATTAAGCAGATAAAAACTATATTAATAGGAATAGGTATAATAAAGATAATAATTGATGCATTTTTTTTATAATATTAATTGTGGACCTTTACTTGGTGTCAGTGAAAAATTCAAATACAGATTTGATTTATTTTCTAAAAAATATTTTTTATAACTTCTATAATTACAACAAAATCAAAATGTTAACAAACAAGAGATCTACACACATTCAATTTTTGTTTTTTTTTAATTTTATATACATGTTTGAGGTAATAAATACACTTATTTACTTATTGTGTCTAACATTTTGATATTTAAGCTAATTTTTCAGCAAAGAAAAAATCGACGAATCCGCACAAAACAATTAAAAATAACGCAGCGGCGTGATAAACATCAGCACCTTCTCAACACACAACGTATCTATAGTATAGTCTAGGCATAATTTGATTTTTATTATAAATATAGAACATTGATTTTAAATTCTAGACACAAAATCTAAGAACATGAATGCAAAAAAGCTTAAGGTCTAAGTTATTTTATATAAAGGAGAAGGCCCGATGTATCGTTGGTGATACGCCACTGCATTTTATTCAAAATGTAAAGTACTAATTTTAAACTATATTCAGTCTTTGTTAAAAATATGAAATTTAATTTAAAATACATTATCCTTATTTCTGTTTTTTGTATTGTAGTTTCAAAAGAGTTTATACAAAAGCGGATTATTGCGTCGTTTGGGAAAAAAAAAAATATTGCAGACTGAACACAGAAGACAGAAGAAAACTGATAATACTGCCACTAAATAAAATCTGTACAGGAGAAACTATTAAGTATAGAGTTATATTTGCTAAAACCAACTATAAACTAAATAAAGTTATGTTAGGGCGTAAGGGATGCTGTAACATTTAGTAGCAATTTGAATTTTAAGATGTATTTTTTGGATTTTAAAATACAAAAAGTAGAAATTGTAGGTAGTTCATAAGTC